GCTTATAGAGCCTAAAATGTTAAATTAGATGGACATGAACCATACGTTTGTGCGTTAAAGCAATGTTTCAACAAAGCTCCAGTTAAGACTCTTTGTTTATTTGAGCCTACACTTTGCAAATGCTCCTGCGTTCCAACTGTCTTCTGTGGGCATTTTCCAATATTCATGGATAGGAAGAATCAATTGTGGAAAAGGCCATACTGCCAAGTAATTAGTATAGTTAATGCCTATCCCATCAATCTACCAATGACGTTTCTTACGATTGGAAGGAAAACAAAAAGGCCTATTTAAAGTTCATATGAACCCAAAAAAGAGCCGCATTATCAAGGACACCTAGCAAAAAGGAACAAAGGCTGGGCATCAATACTGACTTTCAAATGTTACCTCAGAAGGCAAAGTAACAAAACAATTACTGGTACAAAACAGATATAGACCAATGGACAGACAGAAGCCTCGAGAATAAGATCCCATTAAACCTCTTATCTGTGCCAAACTGACAAAAACAAGAAATGGGGAAAGGATTCCTTATTTAATACATGGTGCTGGGAAAACTGGCTAGTCATACGTAGAAAGCTGAAACTGGATCCCTTCCTTCCACCTTATACCAATACTAATTTGAGATGGATTAAAGACTTAAATGTTAGATCTAAAACCATAAAAATCCTAGAAGAAAACCTAGGCAATACCATTCAGGACATCGGCATGGGCAAGGACTTCATGTCTAAAACACTAAAAGCAATGGCAACAAAAGCCGAAATAGACAAATGGGATCTAATTAAACTAAAGAGCCTCTGCACGGCAAAAGAAATTACCATCAGAGTGAACAGGCAACCTACAGAATGGGAGAAAATTTTTGCAACCTATCGATCTGACAAAGGGTAATATCCAGAAGCTACGAAGAACTTAAACAAATTTACAAGAAGAAAACAAACAACCCCATCAAAAAGTGGGCAAAGGATATGAACAGACACTTCTCAAAGATATCTATGCAGCCAGCAGACACATGAAAAAATGCTCATCATCACTAGTCATCAGAGAAATGCAAAGCAAAACCACAATCAGTACCATCTCAAGCCAGTTAGAATGGCAATCATTAAAAAGTCAGGAAATGGGTGGGTGTGGTGGCTCACACCCGTAATCCCAGTACTTTAGGAGGCCGAGGCGGGCAGATCATGAGGTCAGAAGATCGAGACCATCCTGGCTAACATGGTGAAACCCCGTCTCTGCTAAAAATAGAAGAAAAAAAAATTAGCCGGGTGTGGTGGCGGGCACCTGTAGTCCCAGCTACTTGGGAGGCTGAGGCAGGAGAATGGTGTGAACCCGGGAGACAGAGGTTGCAATGAGCCAAGATCGCACCATTTGCACCCAGCCTGGGCAACAAAGACAAAACCCCCTTCTAAAAAAAAAAAATAATAATTCAGGAAACAGATGCTGGAGAGGATGTGGAGAAATAGGAATGCTTTTACACTGTTGGTAGGAGTGTAAATTAGTTTAACCACTGTGGAAGACAGTGTGGCAATTCCTCAAGGATCTAGAACTTGAAGCACTATTTGACCCAGCAATTCCATTACTGGGCATATACCCAAAGGATTATAAATCATGCTAGTATAAAGACACATGCACACATATGTTTATTGCGGCATTATTCACAATAGTAAAGACTTGGAACTAACCCAAATATCCATCAATGATAGACTGGATTAAGAAAAGGTGGCACATATACACCATGGAATACGATGCAGCCATAAAAAAGGATGAGTTAATGTCCTTTGCAGGCACATGGATGAATCTGAAAACCATCATTCTCAGCAAACTATCACAAGGACAGAAAACCAAACACTGCATGTTCTCACTCATATGTGGGAACTGAACAATGAGACCACTTGGACACAGGGCAGGGAACATCACACACTGGGGTGTGTTGGGGGTGGGGGGCTGGGGGAGGGATAGCATTAGGAGAAATACCAAATGTAAATGACAAGTTAATGTGTACAGCAAACCAACATGGCACATGCATACCTATGTATCAAACCTGCACGATCTGCACGTGTACCCTGGAACTTACAGTGTGGAAAAAAAAAAAAGGAATAAAAAAGAACAAGTTATTCTTTTGCTAGGTAAAACCAACTGGTACTATATTAACAGCATGATGAGGGCCGGGCGCGGTGGTTCATGCCTGTAATCCCAGCACTTTGGGAGGCCGAGGTGGGTGGATCACCTGAGGTCGGGTGTTGGAGACCAGCCTCGCCAACATGGCAAAACCCCTTCTCTACTAAAACTACAAAAAAATTAGCCGGGCGTGGTGGCATTTGTCTATACTCACAGCTACTGGGGAGGCTGAGGTAGGAGAATCGCTTGAATCCAGGAGGCGGAGGCAGAGGTCCATTGTACTCCGCCCTGGGCAACAACTGTCTGGAAAAAAAAAAAAAAAAGAAAGCTATTATTCTTTCTTGTGCTAGTTGTTGCTTGCAATTTAAATGTCAGCACTGTTTTTAGCAACTGAAATAGCTTCCTTCTATCATATTAACACTATTAAAACTTGATAAAGAGTTCTTTAGAGTTAAAAGTATTTGAAACATTAGCAGAATAAAACTTGCAGGAAGCAATTTAATGAAAACACTTTGATTTAACAATGTCTAAAAAGGCTTTAACACACAAACAAGGGATTTTACTTGCCCAGAGTTGGTTTGTGTTTTTCCTCAGCACAATTTCAGGTTTAGGGCTTGTTTCACTGATAAGAAAATGAAAGATTCAAGAACATAAACAGTTAAGAATTGGTAAAAAATTCAGTATCCTAGTATTTCTGCCTTCATATATACTTATAAATCTGGAAAATATTTTTGCCACTGAATATTTTCCAACAATCTTATTACATTATTTAAAATTTAGTGTGATTTTACTTTTTCCTTTTGACTGTGAAGTGAATTTTAACAAGGAAATTCAACTTGAAAACACTGGTGCCCTGAATATTTTTGCCATCTTTATAAAGAAAAGTGCTCTCCAGGGCAACTTCCTCTGGGTCTAGTATTTCAGCCAATATGTTATGAGCAAAAGACACTGTGTTACTTTACTATTGCATTTCTTAAAGAATTACTTTAAAAACAAGTCACTCCAAGGTGTAAAGTGAGTGTGTGTGTTTGTGTGTACGTGCAAGTCACAGAGGCTTGGATTTGTTGTATTTCCAAGGAGTGGGAAAATAAGTTTGATAAATTTGCAAACACGATGGTTGTTTTTCGTACAGTCAGAGAACTATCATAGATATCACAATTCAGAAAAAAGAAAATATTTGCTTTTGAAATACTCTTGACCTCCTTTTGTTTTCTTTCCTTTGCCTTATAAAAGGGTACAAAAGTACCAAGTATGTTTATCAATATTGCAATATTTGAATATAAAAGAAATTTTACTGCACTTTAAGAAAGAAAAGAGTTCTATCTTCCATGAAACTTCAGAATACTTCATGGAAAATTGTTCGCACTAGGCAAATTCCAAATGTTAAGGAATTGGATTTCAATCCTGGTTCTGCCAGAGTCTATGACGACCTTGGGTAACTTTTCTTTCCTGGGCTTAAGTTTTCTCATATTTACAGTGAGGGATTTTTAACAAACTAATCTCTGAGGTCCTTTCCACCTCTAAGATTCTAAGGAATCTTATATGTAAAATAATTTTATAAAACTAGTTTTATAAAAAGTTGAAGAGAAATGATGTTCATAGAAAAGAATCCTAGTGAATAACTTTATGACAATTAAACCTTCAGATATTTTTGGCCATTACTTCTAGACTTATTATTAGTACAGTATATACTGGCTTTGTTCATTTCTACTTACTCTACTGTATTTCCATGGCTGTAACTTGACAGCATATTTAACTGATATGGTCTTTTATTTAGTCATTCATCTTCTGTTTATTGAGTGCCTCCTATGTTCTAGACACTATGCTAGGTAACTCATTTTCATTATTTCTAAAATAAGGATATTAGTAATATCTAAATATTAATATTTAGGATCATTGAAAAAGTTAAATAAAATAGGCTGCATAAAGCAGTTAGTTTCTAACCCATATTTAGGGATTAAATAACAATTGAGAAAAGGCACTTTCACGCATTTAGAACAATGTACTCTAATTCTTTCATTCAAGCATGAGGAAAGAGAGGTTAAAAGAGGTTAAGACTGTCCTACCTACAGTCATACAACTACCTGTTGAGAGCAAAGAACATTCAGTGTTGTTTCTATCATATCCACGTTGCTTCTGACCACAAACAATTCCACAATTTGTTTTTTTCCATTCTTTTGCTCAAATTACAAAACATTGCCAGAAAAAAAATTACAAAACTAGGTAAATAAATGTCCAGAGGGGCTGGCAGTCCTACTTAATCCTGTTAACAGCCATCCAGTTAGCTAGGATACCCTGCTACACACAGATGAAAAAACTGAGATTCATGGAAGTTAATAACTTTTCAAGATCACACAAACACTAAATGGCAATGTCAGGATTTAAATCTATTTCTGTCCAGGTACAAAAACCATACTATTTTATGATACCATGTTGCCCTTAAACGTTTCTCTTCTTGGCTTTCTAACAGTTTTAATTCTGCCATTAGGATTAATTTAGGCTGCAGCTAGAGCAGAATGTCAGGAATCCAGCCTTCGTCAAGATTTTCCTTAATGACATAGCTGAAGACAAAGAAGATATTACTAATTTTTGCAATACAAAAATAGAGAAAGAACAGTGAATCTTACGAGATACGGCATGAAACTTCAAAGCAAAATAAGATACTTGAAAGAAACGAAGAAACCCGACGATGGGTTGCTTGTGCTCTGAGACAGCATAAAAATTTGTGTCCAAAAAAGAATAATGGCATTAAGATTTGGGAAACCTAGTTTCCCATCATTTATAAAAGAAAAATAAATGAAAAATTAAGTATTTTGAACATAAACTAATATTGGTTAACAAAGTGATACAGTTGCAAAACAATCTTACTTAAACTATCCTGATAAGAAAACAGTGTCTGAACTATAGGAGGAAATAATTTCTCCAAACCACAATTGGGGTAATTGCAAAAATCTGTTTTTATTTTTGGGGCACCACATATTTTTCTGAAGTTGACAAGAGAGCATCTTGAATTCAGTCACATGGGTGGTATGTGAGGCTTGTTACTGCATTTGCCAGGAACATGTTGATGAAGCCATTGTCAGTGAACACAGATAAGAGTCTCCTTAGATACAGGCTCACGTGGGGGAGAAAAGCATTTTAAACGATGATAGAAAAGTGTTTTCCTGTTACCGATAACTTAAACATCTTATTCACTTTTGGTTTTAGAACATAGCCAAACTGAAGTTTAAGTTACAGACTCACGCATATTTCTGTTCTTTTGCTCTCGTTCTTTACCTTCTACTCTTATTTTAATTCCTGAGAGCTGATTGTTTTTTCTTATTTATATTTGACCTCCATTTTTTTTTTTTTTTATTATATGCTACAATTCGCTTCAAATCATTTAAATCATTTGTAGGATGAGGTGAAGTACTGTATAATAAATGAATGAATATGTGGATTAGTGTAACATTTACTAGGCTTTCAAAAATTGTTGATAGAGTGGAGTATTTTAGCTTAAAAACACAAAAGATACTTTCAGTGTTAAATAGTGTCTTATGAAAAAGGAGAATATAGATTTCTGTTGTTTCAAAGGACAAAAAAAAGGCTAGTATGTGGAAATTACTAGGAGATAGATTCCAACTCATTGTGATGAACAGTTTTTAACAGTTAGAGAAGTCTTAAAAGGGCAATAATAGGCTGCCCCGCAAAGCATTGTTTTCTATCACTGTTATCATATTTGAACAGAAGCTGATAGTCCACTGGTGAGGATGATCCTCCATTGACTGGGAGGCTGGACCAGATGAAATCTAAAGCTTTCTGTATTTTTGGGATTTTAATTAAATACATATCAATGTCATCAATGATAATGGGATTCTGTAAGAACCTTTTTTTTTTTTTAAAAGTACTCAGTGTTAGTAATCACAATAATGGCACTAATGGCCATAATAACCTAGTGTGGGACTTTACAGTTGCTTTCACCTAGGGCATTATAAAAAGGTATTTGTATAAGTATTTCTTCTCACCCCAATTTTACTTATAAGAACATTAGAATGTTTCAATGTGAAATAACATACAAGGGTAATGAAATTGCCTACACGGACACTAAGTCACCAAAAATTAAAGAGGCCACTAGTTAAACCACTAGCAGTGATTTACTAGCAAATGTTGACCTTCTGAGGCAGAGCCTTAGAAGGTTTGGGATGGATGGCCAGAAAAGTTTCAGCCAAGGAAGAGCTAGCTAAGATATCATGGATATTGAATTTGAACTTCCAGTGTTTAACAAAATGTCATGCTGCAGAGCTTTGAGGAATCCACTAAACACTCAAGTCCAGAATTCCTTGTAAGAGGATAGAGGATCCTCAGGAACTCTTTCTCCTTCCCACCTCATCTCTGCCTTATTTGTTCAGACCAGCTACTTTCAATGACAAGGCACATTGCTATAGCAATCACTTAGAGACCTATGGGAAGAATGTTCTAGGTCAGTAATTCTCAACTTTGATACTACTGACATTGGGGACTGGATAATTCTTTGTTGTGGGAGACTGTCTTGTCCATTGTAGGATGTTTAGCAGCATCCCTTCCCCCAACTGTGACAATCAAAAATGTTTCCAACCATTGCCAAATGTCCACAAGAGAGAAAACCACCCCCAGTTTAGAACTAGTCTTCCAGACCTAGGGAATACAGAATGCAAAGCCTTGAACAGCATGAGACATTGTTGCGGAGGTAGGAAGAGATCATTCAGAGGTCTATAGGCCTTGGCAAGAATTTTGGATTTTATTCTATGTGAATGGAAAGTCACTGAACAATTTAAGTTGGGGAGTAACATGTCAATATTTTTAAAAGACTATTTGGCTGCTGTGTGGGAAACAGATTTAAAACCATGAGAATAAATATCAGGCACTAAGGCACATCAACATTTAAAGTAGATTGAAAAGTACAAGAGAAAAAGAGGCTGAGAAAGAGAAGCCCATGAGGCAGGATGAAAGCCATAAAGGAATGATGTCACAAAAATTGAGATGAAGATGTCAAGGAGGGAGTGGCCAATTGTTACTAGATTTTTCTGGTTGGCTCATCCTTGAGTCATAGCCTAGAGATTTCTCTTCTTGCCTAACTATAGTTTCCCCTACAGTTCTTCTGCATCTTGTTCCAAATGAATCATTCTGTCCCAGAACTTACAAAGGCTTCCCACTGTAGTCCTGTACTGGCCTTGTTCAATCCTGTTTCTAAAACTTTGCTCTTTTAAGTTACATCTCTTCCTCAATGCCTTCAAATACACCTGCTTATACCCCTTCTAAGCTGAAGTTCATGTTTGATCTCCCACAGAAGCCCTCTCCAACTTTAGCCCACACAGATGACTCTATTCAAAAAAATCAACAAAACTTTCAATTTTTTACTTTATCCAATAAACACTACTTGTTAAGCATCTGTGCTAGGCACTGTGCTATGCCTTGGAAATATGAAAAAACAGAGGGCTTAGGTAGTAAGGAAATTCACTTGCCAGTCCTTATGAAATAATTTAGGAAAAAAAGGATTCTGTCTAGTAGCTAACCCTGAGTCAGTCATTCATCTACTACTTCTCTATGCTGTATTTCACTCTATCCCACCCAGCTCAGTCATGGTTAAGGTGTTGATGACCTCCTGGAACTACTGGGTTACAGCTCCGCAGGACACAATGTTGCTACTCCTACCAGTCATTAGTGGCAGGGTGCATCTAGCCACAGAGTAGGACATTTCCCAAAGTCTGAGTTATGATCAATCCAGAATAACACTAAGAGGTGTGGATATGTGCTGGTGGTATGCACTTTGGCTGAGCCTCAGCCGAACGATCTAGGGTGTTATTTGGCAAGCCAAGCCTACTCCTTTTCATGATCTCTTTGCCTGTGCGAGGTGTAGAGATTGGTCTTCACAAATTTGGGTCCAGCCAATCAGAAGCTAGTGAATCGAACCCACACACATGTCCCTCAAAGACAAATATTAAGAGTTAATATATTTTAAATCCTTGTTGTGAGTTTCCTGACTACAAATGTTCTGGGAGCAACTGCTGTCCTGCAATGTCAATTTTCCATTTTTTCATGTTTGCTTCAGACTCTGCCCTCTTGATGCTTAAATTGGGTCCTATTACAATTCTACCATTTAAGGATTGGTACATAGATATGCTTAAAACTGGTAGAAAGTATGAAATTATATGATTTTAAAAGTGCATACTCAGGGTTTAGTCAAATTCTTGAGCAGGGTGAACAGAAGGGTATTCTGTAATTGCTAAATAAGGCAGGGAGGTAGTATACGCCATTATTATCCACAGTTAATTAGTTCTCAAGGGTGGAGGTGGGGGTTACTCTGTCAGGTACATTTGCAGAAAAATAAATATAGTACAACATAATTGTTATAAAAAATAAGTCCCAAAAGGGTGAAGGAATGACAATTCTGTCTCAGAAAGTTATGAAAAGATCCACGGAGATAAGCATTCGAGAGAGAACCAAAGGATCTTGAGAGAACCAAGAACACAGAAAGCAAGGACTTTAGAATGATTAATGTGGAGGAACTGGAGGAAGAATGGCAATGAGTTCAACAGTCTGATCATGGAAGGCCCTGCTGGTGGGTAATGAAAAATTCTTAGCAGAGAAGTGTAATGATCGTATTTTCATGTTAGAAAAATTATTAATAGAATGGAGGTTTGACTGGTGTGGGAAATAACTAGAGGATATCTTGTGAATATTGCAATAGTACAAGGGAGATGAGTCATAAGGGATGGTGATTACTTGAAGGGCTAAGACAGTGAGAGTGGAGGGGTGGATTTGAGAGATACTTAAGGAAATAAGAGTCAGAATTTGATATTAGAAAAGAGGAAATGAAGGAAAAGTAACAAGAGTACTCATGGATTTCTGACTTGGGCAGTTGCGTGCCATTTTCTGAAACAGGGAATGGAAATGGTGTAGGTTCCAGATGGGTGAGGAAGGGCATGGCATCAGGAGCAAATTATAGTAAAGATGTCCATGCCAATTTGGGACATATTTAAGGTACTGTGTGAAATCCAAATGAAGATGTTGCTTAAAAATGTCTGACCTATAGATATACACCTGAGAGTTCCTGGTGCACGGGACACCTGGTAGGTAAAGTCCATGATGGAAAGAGATTGCTCAAGGAGACATGGATTAACATTAAACAGAAACAGCAAAAGAAAATGGAGTGCTGGCGAACACAGAAACCACGCAGAAGAAAAACAGTATTTAAAGTGCACCAGAAAAGTAGCTGCAGAATGAGGAGAAAATGACACTAGGGAAACTGAGGGGAGAGTTAATTGTGTGCTCTTACTGTTTTAAAAATGCAGAGTAGGATCTTTTTTTTCCCCACCCCTCCCACAGTTTTCAATATTTTGAGGATAGAAACCACGGCTTCATTTTATCCTATTTCCTAGAGTGCCTAGTTCAGTAAAGGGAACATAGTAAATGCGCAATAAATTCTTAATGATTCAGCCTCAGACATTACAAACGGGTCCTATTTGTCGCCTGTATCAACGTCCAGTATTTCTTTCCCCTATTTCTTGAAATAAACTTTTAGAAGTGCCTCTGGGTTTACTGAAATCCATTTTTACAATTAGTATGTTCAGCTTACACCAGCTTCGGAATGAGTTCCAAAACCTTATTTACTTACTTGAGAGATATTTGGTACCAATGACAATGGGTTTTTCTTTTACTACTATTCCTAAGAAACCTTTTTTAAAATCAAAGTTTAGCCCAATTCCCAGCAGCACATTTTAACTTCAAACCTGTTAGAAAGCACGGCAAGGAAGTGGACAGACTTTTCTGACAATTAATCATTAACTACGTCAACAGACTTATTAAAGCTATCTAATTAAAGGCAAGAAACAACTGCTTGGGGAATACACACTCACGCCACAGGAAGCCATTTAACTGCAAACAGATCGTCTAAGGACTCACGGAAAGCTAAAGGAAACTGCGTGTCCGCAAGGCGTTTTGATTCCAAACTACGGATTGTTCTCTCAGGTAACACCTAACCTAAGTAAAGTCCTTGGTGGATCCGCGTTCTCGAGCTTAGAAAATACCGAATGAACTACCAAGAGCACCAGAATAATCGCTTCCTCCTGAGGAACTAGCCTCTCTTTCTCGCCACACCAGACAGCACGTCCTACAACCACCTTGCCCCCAACAACCAAACTCCAGCTCCACGCTGCCGTCTCTGGGGAAATGTTCTATCTCCTGGTCTCGCGCGATCTCGCGCCTTCGAGGAAGCCAACTGTATCGCACTCGCCATCAAATCCCCGCGGGAATACGATTCCGCAGATCCGGAAAGCCGGGAAATCGCGAGCGGAGGCAGGGTTACCTCGTTGAGCGTGAAGGCGGAGCCAGCTCCGAGGGGCAGGCTCGAGGCGGGGAAAGGGGCGGGGCTCCAGGGACCTGTTGATCGCAGGTGTCACTGGTCTGACTGGCCCCTGGGTATTGGGGCGTGTGCGCATGCTCCGCTCGCAGGGTCGGGCTCTGGGCGGCGGAGACCAGCCGCCTCTGCTCCAGTTCCCGGTGAGCCTCGGTACGGTGGCAGCAGTCCGTGTGTCTGGTGGGTGTCGGCGTGAAGCGGAGCTGGGCCAGCGGGAGGTAGCTGTGTGGGAGTGGAAGGCCGGTATTTCTCTACCTGGACCGCAGGCTCCTCGCGCAAGGAGGGTAGAGCTCAAGGTAAGTCTCCGAAGCCAGCCCTGTGGTTGGAGATCCAGCGACCTGCGACCCCCGCGGGCCTGACCGGGACACTCTCATTCTAGCCCCAGAGCTTGTCTCTCCCCTCGCAACCCGGCGACATCCTCCGGACCCGGCCCTCAGGGCACACACACACTGTCTTCGCTGGGCGGTTCAGGCGCCAGAAGTCGCGCAGCCCTGTCGCCCCTTCTGGTCGCGTCTGGCGGAGATGCCTCAGGCCAGGCTGGAGGCGCGCGCGAGACGGGAGGAGGTGCTGTACTGGCTGGGTCCTGGTTGTTATTGCTGCCGTGTTTGAGGGCGGCGACGGGGCAGAAGCTGGAGTCCTGCTGGGGTTATGAATATTACCCTTACTTGGCTCCTGCCCCTCCCTGTCCAGGCCACATTGCCTCGCCTGAGCACACAGGTTTTTACTTAAAGGGGTCCAGGATGGTTATACTCCCTCCTTGGAGAAGAGAGATGACTGGACTCGTGAGATTCTTGGGGTGGTGGGTGGTGGTTTCTCAGTGGTAGTAGCGATGTATATAAAGTTAATGTTTAGCTTCTAAAGGGTGGCTTACGGGGCATTTACCAAACTATTTTAAAACAATGTTGGAGAACAGGAAGTACTTGCACAGGTGTAATAGGGAGGGTTTCTAAAACCTGCAATCTGAGGATGTTTTGAGGTTTGTAACCCTACTACAAGGTTTTCTTGATCAATGCAAAATATGCAGGGAATTACCAGTAGGACAGCAAAGTTTTCCGAACGTTTCCTTATCTGGAAATATGTGTGTGTGTGTGTGTGTGTGTATAAATATATATATTTTGCAAAGAATATCTAAGGCTATTTTTGAGGTAGGTTTAATAGTAAACCTGTAGTCCCAGCTACTCGGGAGACTGAGGCAGGAGAATTGCTTGAACCAGAGCTTGCCGTGAGCCGTGATCGCGCCACTGCACTCCAGCATGGGCGACAGAGCGAGACTCCGTCTCCAAAAAAACAAAAACAAAAACAAAAAAACCCAGTAAACTTAGGAAGGAAGGTTTTTGTGATTAAGATCTGATTCACTTTCAGTTCTTTAAAGAAAAGCCTTGCTGGTTTTTACTATTTAAAGTGAGTAGCAAGTGCTAACACAAAATATCGGATGGAAGTGAACTTTTAGTTACATTTATACTTGTTAGTGTTATTTTCTGTTCTTTTCAGTTCCATGATGATGGTCTAAGCAAAGACCCTTAGTCCTGTTAAAGATACATTTAAAAAACAAAACAAAACCAAAGGGAACAAAACTTACTCTGCAAAAGTAATATATGATTTATCTGCTGTTGTCATAAGAATTCCAAATAGACAAACTCAGTGTAAGTAGTAGTTTATTATAGTCTGAGAAATAAGGTTTTTGTTTTGTATGTCAATGGCTTTTAAAATAAGCTCCTTGATACAATTTGTGCAGGTTCGTGATTACTGGTGATAAACCATGAAAGTGGTTTATTAAGATTTTTTCATTAATGAAACTAGTAGATGTGTGTATTTCTTCCTAACGTGTAAAAAAGAGACTAAGAACCGGCCTTTCCTTTTTCCTAAGAATTTTAAAAAGTATTTAAAAAAATGTATGTAGATTGTGTAAGTTCATGGAATTTGACACTAATAATCAATTCATTAATATTATTTTCACTAAACGATGCACAAGATAGTTTTAAAAAAGATATTTTAATGGGAAGGGAGACTTTTCCACCTAGTTTATTCTTTTCCTTAAAGAAAAAAAAGAAAAATCACAGTACTCTTAAGACCTGCCATATGTGCTGTGATTCAAGTTCTTTTATATTGTTTAGTGTTAGATGTTTATTTTAAGCTCTGCAGTATCAAGAAATACAACTTCGGTACCATATGGTTTACAAGTTTGTTTTAGCAAGACAAAGTTTAAAAATGAAAGTTTTATCTCATTTAAGGTTACATATAGCTTTAAAAGCCAAAATCAGGATTATTTTCCCTCCTGGAACTGTTTGGAACTCTCTTACTTACTGGGGTAGAGGGGGTACATGCTTTACCTTACAACGTTCCAAAAACATATTTGATCTTTATAAAGTGATGGATTAAACTATCCTACAAAGATATTTAGTTACTAAAATACTTAGAAGATCCTTTTTGACAGCTTTAACTATATGGTATTTCTTGTAGAACTCAAAAACAACCTTTAGAAAGCTGGGTAGTTTATTATTGCATCTGGAAGCATTTTGAACACAGTGTGCTTGGTGTGCTAGGGCCAAAATGATTGCCAGGTTAGCTTACTCTGCTCATGAGCTCTTGTTTTAAGGAAGGAAGTGTGCTGATTTATGTCATCTTTGCAGAGCTAGGTAGAAATAATGATGTCACAAATAATAGTATTATATTGTTAATTTTGTACAGATAATTTTAGAAACTTTTGCATTACAGTATTTGCACATAAAAGGAGCACGGAATGGATGCAACCTGCTCTGCTACAAGTAAAAATCCTCAAAGGATAAATTTTAAATAACTTTATGTAATATCATAATCTTTACAGGTTATACATTTTTTAAAATTCATAAGAATACCATAGATACCATGTACAGTATATAGAATATTTAGGCAAATAATATTCTAGCTCTTCCAAGTTAACTCATATCCTCTATCAGGAATTGTTGAACCAAAAGCCCATGATTAGAACTGTGGTCTATGGTTAGAATTGAGTTTTAATATAATTGGTTTTCTTTGTGATCTTAGTATTTTTTTCTTTTTCTTTTTTTATGCTATGAATTTTATTTTGTTCATTTACAAACATTATTCATAGAAGGTTTCATTAGGCCACCAAAGATGTCCATGATACAAGAAAAGGCTACAAACCATTGCATGTGGCTAAAGAATTTTGATTTTACGTGAGACTTCAGAAGAGTTGCTTCATATACTCATCTTTGTAGTTCATCAGAATTTTTTTCTGCAGAATAAACCTTATTCCAATATCTTAGCTATTTTTATGAACAAAATCAGTTATTTGAGGTGTCATGGTATTTTTGAATTAATCTGAAGATAATTACATTAGTCTTCAATTTTACACATATTACAAAAAAGAAGTTTTAAGAAATACCTTTCCTTTGGAAGTTTTTTACTGCTGCGCTTTTCTGAGTTAGAGGTATTCAATAAACATTATTGACCTCCTATTGTATGCTAGACATAGTGCTAAACGCTAGAAAGTAAAAAGTTAATTAGATAATGTTGGCTGGGCACTATGTCTCACGCCTGTAATCCCAGCACTTTGGGAGACTGAGGCAGGTGGATCGCTTGAGGCCAGGAGTTTGAGACCAGCCTGGCCAACATGGTGAAACCCTATCACTACTAAAAAATACAAAAATTAGCCAGGCGTGGTGGTGCACACCTGTAGTCCCAGCTACTAAGAGGCTTGAGGCAGGAGAATCACTTGAACCCGAGAGATGGAGGTTGCAGTGATCCAAGATTGTGCCATTGTACTATAGCCTGGGCAACCGAGTGAGACTCTGTCTTAAAAAAAAAAAAAAAAAAAAAATCATTAAGTAGTTATTATTTTGAAAACTTGTACATTTGTTGAAAATTTCTAAATCAAATCTCTGTTGCTGACATTCTTATTTCAGTCACTTTATCTTTCTTTCTGATCCATTGACTGCTAGCATTTTAACTCAATTTTCTCCTCTCCTTTCTAGTCCAGAAAAGTTTTGTAAATGAACATTTACAACAATTCTTATTGAAAATCCACTTATAATGTGAAGCATTCCCAAACATTCATTTTACAAATTGGATTTTTCATATATTAGTTATTCTTAAACTAGGATAGCTCCATAACAAAAATTGCTTATCATTTACTAAGAACCGCTACTAAAATTTTAAATTTAAGAAATTGACATGGTGTTGAACAGTTTATCTGATCTCATTAATCTGAATTAAAGCAATAGTTAAGTTTAATATATCAGTTTAAGGTATTTCCTTAAAGAAAGCAAAATGGAATATAAAATATATAATACAGCTTCTGCTTTTTTCTAAATCCTTGTTGATATTGTTAAAAATCATTTTACGTGGAAGATAATGTTATTATAATTAGCCTGCATTCGTTGAACGCCTATGTTTTGGCCATTTATTAGGTATTTTATACATGGTTTATGATTCTCACAATAGCCCTATGAACCTTTTTATATTGATTTTGATTATAGATGATGAAACTGATACATTTTTAATGATTGAGTAGTTGAGCAATGTGTTGTAAATTTTATATCAGAAGAGGAATAAAATATCTATGGGAATTATAAGGTCACTATCAGGGTATGGATTCCATCCTTGTCAAGAACCCATCAGGGTATTCTTTGCCCATCAGATACCTCATGCTTTGGCTTTTTCTTAACTCCTCATCCTGCATAATAAACTGTTGCCCCTCTCATGGTTCCTCTCCCCATACTTAGGTGAGCAGATTGTTTGAGCCCTAGATTTTTCCTCCTATATGGTGCTGCCATATAGGCATGAGATAATGCCCCTCCTTTGTCAGTGTAGTACTGACACTGACCTACCTGCCAGATGGTAGGAAATTGTCCTATACTTTAGTGCCTAGGTTGTCTTTGTTAGGAACACTGTTTTTTCCAAAGGGTTTGTTGTTTGAGATTTTACTTTATTTCCTGAGCTTCCTTTAATAAATATTTGATGAAAACTTAACCATGCACTGTGTTCTGTTCCAGATGCTTGCGATTTGCTTTACATTCTAAGTGGATTTGGAGAAGAGACAATAAAGAATAAACAGTCAATTCTATAATATATTTAGAAGGAGAAAAGTGCCAAGGAGAAAGAAAAAGTAGAGCAAGGTAAGAGGAATTGGGAAAGTGTGGTACAGATTGTGATGGTTTGCAATTTTAAGTAAGTGTAGGCCTCATTTAAGTGATTTTTTTTAGCAAAGCAATTATGAAGGGAGGGAGGGCAAAGCCATGTGGGCATCATGGGGGGAATGTGTTCCAGGCAGGAGAATGGCCAGTGCAAACAATATAGAGAACAGAAGTTTGCATGGTGTGCAGGAATGAGAAGGAGACTGATGTGGCTGGAATGGGAAAGCCAAAGGTCAAGAAGTTGGATGAGGGGCTGGGCAGATAGTGACCTTATGATTTAATTTTAGAAAGATCTCTGTCTACTCCCCGGAATAGACTTATATGTTACTGTGTAAGGGTCGAAGCCAGGAGACAGGCAGCTATTTTTTAATCCACACAAGATGTGATGATGGCCAAGACCAGAATTGTTGAAGTGGAGGTGGTGAGAAGTGGTCAGATCCTGAAATATGAGAGAAAAAGAAGTCAAAGATGACATCAAGATACTTGTTCTCAGCAACTGGAAAGATAAAGTAGCCATTGACCGAGATGGGGAAGAAGGTATAGATAAAGTTAAGAGTTCAGTTTGGGGCTTTGTCAAGGCAAATAAGTGTTAGGTTATTGCTGACTTGACATAATTTTCTTCTGGAGATCATGTCTTAAAGTAGACTACCATAAGCCATTTTCTTTATGACCATGTCCTATATTCTGGATACATGTGTATGCTTGTCTTTTGCTAGTTAGTTACTAGTGGAAACTGGTGAATAGGTAAAAGCAACATGAAATAAATCACAGTTTTTTGTTAGACACAAAGCAATAGAGCAAAAAAATGGAAACATTGAAAATTACTTAAAATTTACCGTCTTTTTGTTGGCAGTATTATAGTCTTTTTTTCTTATTGATTTTATTTTCTGTCTTTGTTGTATAAATTTTCTACTGCAGTCTTCTCTAATTCCTCCATTTCTAGAGTGACAATGGTTTTATACATCAAAGAATATTTATTCTTCAATTATACCTTCCTTACTATAATCCTTTAGCTTTATAAACACAAAGTTACTTCTCTAATGAAAGATATTTTTTCTTTTTTCTGACACTGTCTACTTGAAGATAAAGGTTTTTTTTTGTATTACTTCAACTTGGTATAACTCTTCTGTTTGCTATCTAGTTATCTAAAATAAAATCTTAAATACTTCTACTAGTAAGATGAGCAGTTGTAACATATCATCAGAAAGTCCTCAGTTTATCTTTGAGGAGCTGTTAGTGAAAAGATGTTAATATGAAGTTTTACTTTACAGCTTGATGTGTACTGTTAAGAATATCTTTGAATAGAAGTGATTCTCTACTAATATGGAATTATGGATATTTCTAATTTTCTTTATGTAGTATTTCTGTGGTATTTCAGAAATCTAATGAACAAGTACTGTTTGATAATCAAAAGAAAAAATCAATACACATAAAAGAACAAAGAGTCTTATGGCTTTATCAACCATTATATTAGTTTCCTAGGGCTGTTGTAACAAAGTACCACAAACTGGGTGGCTTAAATGACAGAAATTTATTCTCTCACAGTTCTGGAGCTAGAAATCCAAAATCCAGTTGTCAGCAGGATTGGTTCCAACTGAGGGCTCTGAATGGAATCCTTCCTTGCCCCTTCCTAGCTTCTGACAGTGGCTGTTCATCTTTGGTGTTCCTTGACTTGCAGCTTCATCCTTCTAGCCTCTGCCTCTGTCATCATTCTCTCTCTTTCTCTTTTTTGTAATGACTGCTACCAATCACATTGGATTAGGGCCCACCCTAATGACCTCATCTTAATCTGATAACATTTGCAAATACCCTGTTTCCAAATACATTGACATTCACAGGTCTGGGAGTTAGACATGTGTTTTTGGGAGACACAATTCAACCCATAATAGGTATAATGAATCAGGTTTAAGATGCCGTTATCATTTACCTAGAGCATTCTAGTAGCCTGATAAAGTTATTGGATGTTAGAATTATTGGATGTTAGAATTTGACCAAATTCCATATAGTGTCATCCCCTTTTGGGGGAAAACACCTATTAAATAATTTATATAGCATGGTGTAGATTACTTAACTAATTATGTATTGGGCTTAAGTTTCGGAAGGAGGAAAGATAGTCTGATAGTCTTGTCTGGGGTAATGAAGGAGAGTGGCTCTGGAATCTTGCCTTTTGGGATAAAATTATTGCTGGTAAAGCACTGACTCATAAGAAAGCAGCA